TTTAGCAGCTTTGTTAAAATAGAATTCAAGTAATGTATAGTTAGCCTGTTGAGAGAGTACTATTTATAGTATTTTATATGGCCACTGAGTTGCACAACCATCTCCATAGTCAACGTTAGAACATTTTGTCATCTCAGGAAACCTGCGCCTTTTAGTCCCCCTCACCCCACAGACTCCATCCAGCAGCCATAGATAAGTTTCCTGTCTCTGTAGATTTGTCCATTCTGGACATAAGTCATGATCAATAGGTAAGAAATACATCAATAACAATTACACTTTTAGCTCAACAGGTCATTTACCTCATTGGTAATTCTAGAAATAATTAACCTAACTGTATTTTGTGAAATCCTTCCTTTACTGCCCGGTTGTGAGAATTCTTCATATATTCCAGATGCTATCAGTACCGTGTCAGATGCGTGGTTTGCATAGATTTCCTCTCAGTTGTAACTTGTATTTCCATCTTCCTAACAAGGTCTTTCTCAAAGCACAAGTTTTTAGTTTTGATGAAGTCGAGTTAATCAGCTTTTCCTTTTATGGATTGTGCCTTTTGTGTCAAGATTAAGAGCTCTATCCCTAGATCCTAAGGACGCAGCCCTGGTTTTTTTTTGCTCCTAGTTTTAGTTTTACATTTAAGCTGATCACCCACTCGAGTTAAGTTTTCCATAAGGCCTGAGTTTCAGTTTAGGTCCAAGTTTATATTTCTGTCCCTTTTTCTGGCAACATTTGTTAAAAGGCTGCGTTTCCTTTAGCACCTTTGTGAAAACTCAGTTGGGCATCTCCGTGTGGATCACTTCCAGGGTCTCTGTTCTGCTCCACACACACTTTCCTCATTAGTGGCTATCTTTGGGAAGTCAGCATTGGAGAGAGAGAGATTCCGTCCACTTCAGTATCTTTTTTATCCAACATCGTTGTATCTACTCTCAGACCTTTACGGGTTTTTTTTTGGAAACTTTTTATTGAATGTGAATTGAGTGAAGATTTACAGAGCAGATCATTAGTTTTACAATCAACAGATCGCATACTTGGTTCCTTCTCAGTGACTGAAGTTCCCTCCATGCAACAACAGTGATCCCACCTCCTCCCTGCTGTTCCTGTGTGCATCCCACCCTCCTTCCCAACCCCTCTGAACCTTGTCCCTAGATAAATGTTGCCCTTTTGGGGTTTTTTTTCTAAACTTTTTAGTTGAATTGAGTGAAGGTTCTCAGAGCAGATGGTCATCTTTACAGTCAACAAATCGTACACTTTGCTTCATCTCAGTGATGACCATCCTCCTCCCTGCAACAACAGTGACCCCACTTCCTTCCAGTGGCTTCCCTTTTATACATCTTAAGTATTTCAGAAATGAACAAAGCAAAACTATCTGATGCACACATACAAAACAAAAACCATGTCCATTTAAATGTCCAAAGGGCAGATTCTGCCTGCTAGCCTCCTACCCACAGGCACACGGCCTTTCTTACTCTACCGACCTAGAAGCCAGCCGCTGCTCTGTGTCTCCCTGTCATCGCTGCCGCCGCCGCCACCATCTCTGCTGCTGTTTATGACCTTTACCTTTAATATAGATTTTAGAATAAACTTCTCTATGTTTGTAAAAATTTCCTGGGATTTTTCAAGATCAATTTGAAGAGAGTAACCATCTAAATTTCAAGTTCTCAGGATGTGTGTGTGTGAGTTGTGAGCATAAGGTGGTTTGAGAGAGGCTGTTTCAGTGTAGGTTGAAGCATGGTGATGAGGTTGTACGAGGGTATGGTACCAAGTATTGCTGCGAATGCACAGAGACCTTTATAAACAAAAACAGCACAACGTGACCTCCATCTAGGTCCACACACTGCAGAAGGATTGTGGAGCCACACACTTCCCCAAAGAATTATGGGAACTTCAGTTGATACCATGCCAAAATGGCAGTTTGGGCATCCTTGGGTTTCTTTTAGACACTTTTAGACTCGCCATTGTTTTTTGAAATCTGGCACAGTTGTGGATTGTAGATGCTCGTTTATATTTCTGATGTTTATAGTCTAAAAATCTGAGTCAGAAAACAAATATAGCTGAGCTCTCATTCTCATGTGCACTCCTTTCCTACAGAAAGCAACTCGTCCATTAGTTCTGCTCTCTGGATAATACAGACATTAAGTCCTGCTGTGGCTCTGTGGTCAATGTGCTGGACTGCAAAGTCAGTTTGAACCGCAAGGTCGGCAGTTCAAGCTCACTTGCCTTTCAGAAACCCTGTAACAGGGTCGGTATGGGTTGGAACCAACTCAACAACAATATCAAAGCTATGATGATTACATTGTATTTAAAAATCCACATGACAACATTCTGTGATTTGTTTTTACTGTTCGCGGTTAAATTTTATTGCTGCTTTTTTTTTAAAGCCCTGCTCAAGTAATCAGGATATTATCTTGAATTCTGTCATGTAATAGTTCTTAAAACTTTAAAAGCTGTGTTAATAAAATGCCTAATTTAGATCAAAGTCTTCCACAGTCATAATTCCCATTATGACCTTGAATCATCTTGTTTGGCCTGGATCAACGATAATCTTGTCATGGATGTTTGTGTGTTTTCTTTGCAAAAATATTCAATAATAATGTACTTTAATACATCACTGATCTAAAATTGATACTTGGAAATCTATCCTTGGCTTTCCTGGATTTTAGTGGAATGTCTGAGAAAGGATCTTTTTATAGATTTACATTAGCATCTAAATGTCGTTCTGTAAATAAACACCTTGATGGATCCACAAGTCTGACGTAACAGACAGTGTTTCCTGGAGTCTGCATGTAGCACTTAGGTCCCGCTCAAGGGTAACACAGGAACTCATAAATCATGTAAACTGGACTCTTCCTCATCCTTCTCTTAATCCCGCTCTGAACTCAGGCCTGCTCAATCGGGCTTGGAAGACGTCTACAGTGTGGTTGACTGGGTTGTCTAATTTGGAATATTATGAGGATCTTTTTTGTTTTTTGAAATTGTGAATTGAGTGGTAGTTTACACGAGAGAACATTGGTTTTACACTCATTGTTTCATTGCAATGATTACAATCTCTTCATGCATCATCATCATTCAACAGTATTTGCTTCTATTCCCTCTGTGGGTTTTTTTTTGTGTGTGGGGGGGGGAAATGTACACAAAATCACTTAAGAATATATAATCACTTAAACAACCAAAGGGCACATTCTGCAAGCTTGCCTCCTGACTGCCAGCACACAGCCTTTCTCTTTCCATGAGTCCAGAGTCTTCAGCACCTCCCTCTCTCCATGTCCCCATCTCTGCCTCCATCTCTGGTGGCACTGCTTCTCTGGATAGGGTCAGACATTCTGCTCTTGCTCTTCTCCCTTGATGGTCCTAGGGTCCTCTGTTCCTGGGCTGTAAGATTAACTACTTCCCCTCTTTGTGTTACAAAACTTCTACCTTTATAGTTGTAACAGTTGTAATTAGTCATGATAACAATTATTCAATATTGAATAATAAGAATCTTATCCCCATCTTCTTTCACCAGACCTGTCTAGACAAGATAAAAACTGTTCAGTGGAGACTCTTATTTTCCCCCCCACACTCTTTTTTTTTTCTTCTATCTTTTAAGTTTTTATTGTGAATTGAGTGATAGTTTACATGGGAGAACATCAGCTTTACACTCATCATATTTTGTTACATTGTAATGATTACAGTTCCCTCCATGCATCATCATTAAACAGTATTTGTTTTGTTTTGGATGTACACCAAAACACTCATGAATATGCAATCATTCAAGCACCCAAAGTGCATACCATACCAGACTGCCCCCTGGCCACCAGCACACAGCCCCTCTCTGTCCATGAATCTGGAGTCCCTAGCTGCTCCGTCTCCATGTCATCATCTTTGCCTCCATCTCTGGCATCGCTACTTCTCTGAATAGGATCTAACACTTTGCTCCCACTCTTTTCCTTTTATGATCCCAGGGACCTCTGACCCTGGACTGCAAGATCAGCCACTCCCCTCTTTTTGCTACAAAACGTCTACCTTTATAATTGCAACAAGCGCAGTCATGATAACAATTACTATTGAACCACAAAGAGTCTTATCCCCATCTCCTTTCACCAACCCCGTCTAGACAGGTTGAAAACCACTCAGTGGAGATTCTACCTTCCCCTGCACCCTCTGAACTAAACTCCCTCTTGAAAACTTGTAAGCCAGTCACTTTGTGCCTTTATAGGCCCCCACCCCCCATTTTAGGTAGCCATTGTCTAAGTTGCCCGTCCCTATCAACCTTGTATACAGAGGGGATGGGAATGATCCTTGATGTGAAAATTCTTTCCTTCTTGGTTGGTATTTCAAGCTACTGTATCCATAAGTTAGGTCAATTTCATCAAATTGTAGCGAATTACACTTTGTGTTCTTTTTTTTTTTTTTCATTCGTCTTCTTTTCTTTCTGACTCTAGTCGAGTTCTGATCATCCAGCCATTGAACCTAGGTCAAATGGGTACTATCTGCAAGTGTGGGCATTCTTATCCCCCGCACACTCTAAACTAATCTCCTTCGTGCTTTTATCGCCCCCTCATTTTGGTAGCCGGTGTCTAAGTTGTCCATCGCTATTTACCCTGTATACCGAGGGGATAGGATTGATCCTTGATGTGAAAACTCCTTTCCTTCTCAGTTGGTATTTTGAGCTACTACATCCATAAGTATAGGTCAAGTTCATAAAATTGTAGCAATTTACACTTGTTTTCTTTATCAAAAAGTTTTGGCATTTTAATTTCCTCTGGTTGAGTTCTGATCATCAAATCATCGAGGCTAGGTCGAATGAGTACTGTCTGCAAGTTTGGGTGTTCTTATGCGTCTCCCCTCACTTCACATCAGCTGGATGCTTCACTCTCAGCTCTAGCCCTCCATGCCTATGTCCTTGTCCATGGGCTCAGGAGTCCCAGGTCTTGCCACATTTCGGACCAACCAGCTCTTCCTAATGAGGATCATTTTTAAGGGAAAGAAATTTCTAGTTTAATTGTTCTCCATGTGCTGTCTTGTAGGTCGGAGACATCGTGATGGTGAAGGAGGATGAGAGCTTTCCTTGTGACCTGATATTTCTTTCCAGCAACCGAGGAGATGGAACATGCCACGTTACTACAGCCAGCTTAGATGGAGAATCAAGTCATAAAGTAATGTTCCTCGGATTTGAAATCTCAGAGCAACATCCCAACATTTGTCTTTAACCTTGGCGTTCTGATCATATGCTTGTGTAACCACAGAAACTTAACATCATTTTTTGGTCAGAATTTTTTATTGTGAATTGAGTGAAAATTCAGGAGCAGATCATCAGTTTTACATTGAACAAACGACACACTTTGCTTCATTACATTGATTGCAATCCCCTCCATGGAACAACAGTTAACAGTATTTACTTCTATTCACTTTAAGGCTTGTGTTCCTCCCTGTGTGTCCTGCTACCTTCATCTTTCCTCTGCTAACCTCCCTCTTACTGTATATTGCCTGACCCACCACCCATGTTGGTGGTTCAAGCTCACCAGCTGCTTCTCGGAAACCCTAGACAGGGTCGCTATGGGTCGGAACTGACTTGATGGCGCTTCACAACAACACCAACAACAACATCCCATGTTAACATGTGTCGACCCTCTAGCCCGTGAATAATCCTCTTCCAGCCCCTGGTAACCATCATAGATAAATTCTTTTATCAAGAAAATCATTTCTAACTTTTTACTACAGTGGTCTCATAGAAACTTCGCATCTTTTTAGAAAACTCAATGTTTGATGATTACAGTACAAATCTTAGCGAGTTGTTCTTGCCAAATTTTTTCTCACTTTTGCTTATCACTCACTTTATTTTGTTTACCTTGAATGTCTATAACAAATAACCCTGGTAGGTGGTAGAGGTGGTGGTGGTTGGTGGTTACATGCCGTGGAGTTGGTTCTGACTCACAGCGACCCTGTATAGGGTTTCCGAGGCCATAAATCTTTCTGGGAGTAGAATGCCTTATCTTTCTCCCATAGAACCGCTGGTAGCTTTGAACTGCTGACCTTGAGATTAGCAGCCTGACTCGTAACCACTATGCTACCAGAGCGCCTTAATAAAAATAGCTTCAATATTGCCCTATTTAGCTAGTATGCCGAATTACAGATTTAATGAGTGAATACATTTTGAAGGCTTTCTTTTCACTAGTCAAAATTTTATAAAAAGAAAAAAAGTTACATACAGTTCTAGGTTCTGCCTATTATTTTTTTAGTGAGTATAAGTATTTTAAGAAGTGTTTTCTGAAATCATAATTAATTGCTGGCACTCAGTATGAAATTCTGTACTAGCAACTGATCGGGCAAAAATTCTAATTAGCAATAATAAAATAATAAAACATATCTTTATTCATTTAAATTTTTCATTGTTTTCAGAAAGTACAAGTTTCCAGGGAGTTTAGGAAAATGAGCAGAGCTCAGTGGATTCAACCGTTTCTAGGGTATAATGTGGCACTGTAGGATAAGCATTGGACCACAAGGTCAGTTTGAACTGCAATGTCGGCGGTTCAAACTCACTAGCCGTTCCTTGGAAACCCTCCACAGGGTCACTGTGAATCGGAGCCAAGTTCACAGCACTTAACAACAGCAACAACCACCTAGAAGTGCAGTTCTGAAGCAGGGCTTCTAAGCAATAATACCTCTGTTGGTGTTAAGTGCAATCTAGTCGGTTCCAACTCATAACAAACCCTGTGTAGGGTTTCCGAGGAGCCGCTGGTGGGTTTGAACTGCTGACCTGGCAGTTAGCAGTCCAGTGTTTGTCCTACAACACTGGTGCTCCAGCACCTTTGAGTGTAGCAGTGTCTACGGGAAAGGGAAAAGTCCCTTTGCAGAAAGACCACAGGCTACACTAATCTGTGGAGAATCCGTGATACCATTGTACTAAACAGCTCTGTGCTGCCTCCTCAGAATTGACTTTCACATCTTCTGTGTAGATATATCCTAGGAGAATTACCATTTTGCCATAAGAGATTATGATGTTGTTGTTGTTATGTGCTATGGGGTTGGTTCTGACTCATAGTGACCCCGTACAGGGTTTCCGAGGCTGTAAATCTTCATAGGAGCAGAAAACCTCATCTTTCTCCCGCAGAACAGCTGATAGTTCCTAACTGCTAACCCTGAGGTTAGCAGACTGATTCGTAAACACTACGCTACCAGAGCTCCTTATAAGAGATTATAAGCTACAGTAATTTGGGGAAAATGGAAACCCCAGATGATTCTTGTGTTCATTGTAATCTGCTGTTTTTGGTGGTTCTGCTGGAGCATGAAGAAGTGAAGGTTCCCTAAGACACCGAGAGTCCATTAGCTGCTTCCATCCCTCTGATTGGCCGCAGGGTGCCTTTTGGACTTCGGTGTAAGGAACGTCTGTGGTCAAATTAAGAGGCATCACCGCATTGGTAGCAGGACGCATGCCTTGGGTCTAAGTGCATCGCTTTGGTCAATATAAAATTTTATAGCTTGTCCTACCCAGAACTAAAAATGTTAGGAGAGTCATTCCAGTTCAGACGTTTTGTGTATTTGTACTTTGCATTTTAATTGAATTTTCTCTAACTTTGTTTTTGTGTATTTGATTTGGCTTGAGCAACGACTAAAATTATTTGAGGCCTTTTTGACTGCTAACCACAAGTTCAGCAGTACAAACCCACCGACCAACCACTCTGTGGGAGAAGGAGGAGGCTGTCTGCTCCCGTAAAGAAGGACAGCCCCAGAAACTTCGGACAGGGGTCTCTGTGAGTCGGAATGGGCTTGAGTTTGGATTTTCTTTTCTTCAAAGTAGCCTGGGGGAGTAGAAAGAATTCAGCAGTATCAGCGGGATCCTGAATAAGCCATTTGTTGCTTGTGTGGCCTTTGGTAGATTTTCATAGCTCTGCTATGAAGTCATCAGCGCACCATCAATGGGATACACCTGCTGAGAAGACTCAGAGATACAGTCCCTTTGTCACCAGGCCCTCGTATCCAAGTCTTTCTTGCCTCTCTCCTCTCCAGGAAATTTGGGTGCAGCTCTGAGCGCCACCTGTTCATGTTTATAAGTACTCTAAGCCCGTTGTTCTTAAAATGTGCTCTTGGGACTGCAGTTTCTGTATTAACTGGAAAAGTCTGAAAATGCAATTCTAGTGCCCTACTCCAGACCTAACAAATCAGGAATTACGAGTTGCAGAGCTGGAGTCAGTGTTTTAACAAGCACTCTAGCAGACTGTAATGTTAACTCCTGGCGTGGACAGCTGCAAACACAGTGATGTCCTGGCTCGTTGGTTGCAGAGTTGTGAAAATTAAGTGATGACGTGTAAGCTGTCTATAAACGATGGGACGTCATGTAAATGAAAAGGGATATTTTTGTTCCTAATTTGTTTCTGAATGGATAGTCACCACTGTGGCTGATAAATTGAAGTCTCCAATTTTTAAATAGAATTCCCAGTGATTGGTGGTCCTATAGGATATGCTCCTTGGAAAACCCTATACAGGGTCGCTATAAATCAGACCTTAACAACAACATCAACAGTAAGAACCAGTTATTGGTATTTGCCTTGTTACTTTCAAAGGTGAGAATGGACAATTTAGAAAATTCTGGCACCATAATAAGTATAAGAATAGCCACAAAACCTTTTGTTTCTGTAACTTTGTAATGTTTGCAAATTTTGTATTGTATTTTTGTTTTTCATATGGTGAGTCAGTCATTGTAACTGGGTTTATTTATATATACAAAATCTTAAAACTTGCTACTGTCCTAGGAAAACAGTTGTTTTTTTTTACTGTTTTTGACGTTCTTATTGTAAATTCACGTTTCTTGTTAATTTGTAGACACATTATGCAGTTCAAGACACAAAGGGATTTCACACTGAACAGGACATAGATGGGCTTCATGCCACGATCGAGTGTGAGCAGCCTCAGCCCGATCTCTACAAGTAAGCAGAACCTTCAAGCTCCTCTTAAGTATTTTAGTATAGCATATATTTAGTATTTAGTATAGCGTACTATAGCATATAGTATAGGATATATTTTATCCTCTTAAGTATAATAGTATAGCAACATAGTTGTTTGGAGAGAGATTGTTCATCAGTGTTTAAAAATTAAGACGGAGTCACAAAAATGTACTTATGTGTTTCCATAGACTTGTTGGTTAGGCTTCAAATCTGTAGCTTTTTATATAAATACCTGAGGAGTCTTATCGGAGTGAAATTTTTTTTTTAATGTTTTATTGTCAATTATTTGATAGTTTACATGGGAGAACATTAGTTTTACATTCCTCCTATCATATATCATTTCATTGCCATGGTTACAATCCCCTCCATGCATCATCAACCAACCAAAGGGTATATCCTACAAGCCTGGCCCCCTTTTGCCCCCCGTCATCAGCACACAGCCCCTCTGCCTCTCTGTGTCTAAAGTCCGCAGCTGCTTCATCTCTCCACGTCATCTGCCTCCATCTCAGGCATCACTGCTTCTCTGGGTAGGGTCCCGCTCTCCGCTATTCTCCCTTGATGGTCCCAGGGACCTCTGCTCTTAGGCTGAAAAGTTAATCACTCCCCCTCCTTGCTGCAAAATGTCTGCCTTTACATTTCCAACCCTCACAATCAGTCCTGATAACAATTATTCACTACTGTATCACAAGAGACCTATCCGCATTTCCTTTCATCAGTGCTGCCTAGACAGATTGGATACTACTCAGTGGAGATTCCACCTTCCTCCACGCCCTCTGGATCTAGGTTTCCTCTTGAAAGCTTGTAAGCCAGTCACTTCTTGCCTTTGTAGCCCCCCTTTTTGGATAGCCAATGTCCAAGTTGCCCATCCCTGTCTATTCCGTGTATGAAGGGGGTGGGAATGATCCTTGCTGTAAAGATTTGTTCCCTCTTTTGAGCTGCTGCATCCATAGGTGTAGGTCAAGTTCATGAAATTGTATCAGATTACTCTTTTTTTTTCCTCTTCTTTCTTCTTCTAGTTGAGCTCTGATCATGCAGTCATTGAAGCCAGGTCAAGTGGGTGTGAGCTGCAAGTGTGAATGTTCTTATACACATGCCCTCTCTTCTTATCAGCTGGCTGCTTCACTCTCCAGTCCTCTGTGGTTATGTCACTGACTCTGGGCCCAAGAGTCCCCAGGTCTTGCCACCCTGCTGGCCAAGCGGAACTCCATCTGGGTTCACAGGAGTCTCTTGAGCGTTGTAGGGCTTAGCTAGCAGCTTCATTGCTGTTTTTCCCTCACTTCCCCTTATCGGTGATGAATGTGGTCACCAATCAGAGCGTGTATTCCCATTAAGTCTTGGTCTTGGAAGGGGGTTTGCTCTGAGGGGACCCGACCACTTGCCTTGATGTCTCCTGGGTGAGCAATTTGCTTGTTCTTGAGGTAATCAGTCGGTCTGCCCATATTGTTTTATATTTTTCCTGTCGGTCTTTCTTTCAAGAAATATCTTCTGTTCTTCTAGCCGCTTCAGGCTGGTCTGCCCGTCCTTTCAAGAGGAAATTTCCCACCTCTGAAAATTCTGGATGCTGTTCAGGATTCCACCTATAGTCTTATGTAATGCAGAGGCTCCACAGGAAGCCTCCTTCACTGGGCATGGTGTAGCCCCATTTTAGGTATTCCATTCAGTTATAGGCATTCCATTCAGTTATAGGCAGAAGATGGACTTACAGGCTTTCTATGGTGATGTTTCTGGCTATTCCTTTCTCTCCGCCTCCAGTGTCTATTTTATAATGGTATTCAAGGAAAACCAAGATTCAAAAGACAGCCAAGCATCTTAACATTATTTCCCCCCTTTTTCCCCATTCCAGTCATGTCTCAATCCCTGTATCCCAGAGCCCTGTTGTTCCAAGGTTGTGCATACATCATTATTTACCTCTGTCCCACTTAGCCCATGCAAACCTGCCTAATTGTTTTCCCATCTGATTTGTTCTTCCATTCCCCTCTCCCTTCTTGTATATTACCCCTATCCCAGCACACAAACTATCCTGTGTGTATTCCCCGCCCTGCGCTCCGCCCTCCCGCCTTCCCCCCACCCATCACCAGCTTCCCAACAACCAACAAAGACTTACCCCTACCCCCTTTTAGTGTAATTTCTTTTTCTTAGTCTTTTACAGTAGTGGTCCTATGCAGTATTTCTCCTTTCGTGACTGACTAATTTCACTCAAGATAATGTCCTCAAGGTTCATCCATGTTATGCGGTGGCTTGCAGCTTCCTTGTTACTCTTCAAGGTAGCATAATATTCTGTTGTGTGTATGTACCACAGTTTGTTTATCCATTCTTCAGTTGATGGGCACTTTGGCTGCCTCCATCTTTTTGCTATTGTAAATAGTGCAGCTTTGAACATTGGTGTGCATATATCTACTCGTGTTATGGCTCGTATTTCTTGTGGGTAAATACCAAGTAGAGGACTTGCTGGATCATAAGGTGTTTCTATTTCCAGCCTTCTGAGGAAGCGCCATATTACTTTCCAGAGAGGTTGGACCATTTTGCAGTCCCACCCGGAGCTAAATGTTTATATAAATTCCTGAGGAATCTTACCGGAGCTAAATTAATGGAAGAAAAGTTACTCTTCTCTGTTTTGAGGAAGAAAGTTGTAGAATTGTGTTAAGGACAACATGTCAGTCATTGAAGAGTGATGAGGAATCTGGCAAACAGCTTACAGCTTGGCTAGAGGTCATTATGCTGAAAGAAGTAAATCAGTCACAAAAGGATAACTAAGCCCAGTATAGTAAACGTCTCCAGGAAAGGTCTTCACACGAAAAGAGATGCTCTTGGATAGTTACTAGGGGTAGGCGGGCAGGGAAGGGTGAGTCATTGGCTGTAGGCATGACAGGATGGAGGCGTGAAATTTTTAATTAAATTGAACAAAAACAAACATTGAATTCATGGGTATAATTAGAAAGTCAAAGAAGAGAAACCCAGTTGGTGCCACAGTTTGAACTCACGGAGATCCTGTGTGAGTCAGAGCTGTGCTCCGTAAGGTTTTCAGTGGCTGCTTTTTCAGAACTAAATGTCCAGACCTTCCTTCCAAGTCCCCTCTGAGTGGGCGGGAAATGCCAGCCTTTCACTCTGCAGTTCAGCGCTTCAGCCATTTGCACCAGCACAGGGCTCTGTGCTGGCCACACTGTAACCACACACTAGACGTGGTTGTGAGTAAAGAACCACAATTTCTGTTGCCCTTCATTACCTTTTTAAAAACAGGAAAATAGCATATAAAAAACAACAAATGTCATTCCAGTTTGTGACTCTTCCATTGATACTGCTGTCTCAGTGACATCACTTTTCTTGTTGTCAGATTTGTTGGTCGCATAAATGTCTACAATGATCAAAATGACCCCGTGGTAAGGTAAGGGGATAAACTTCCATTGGCTCAAGTCTGGTCTGTATTGTTAAGACTTAATTTTTGCTTATTAGTATGAGTTCTTTGTTGATGTTGTTTCTAAAATATAATTCTTTTTCTGTTGTTTTTTGTGTGTGTAAACACATAACAAGTAAATGATGTTCATGAAGACTTCTTTTACAAGATTCTATTGAAAGTGTCTCTTAACAGATTGGTTCCAAGGCAAAGGGTGGTATGGAATACTTTCTTTCCATTAGAGATACCCTTTCAGAACGTCGATGAAAGCATGCCTTCAGCTATGAAGTTCACGGGATTCTTATTTTGAAGCTATGTTACTGGAATGTATCAGTCTGTTCTTACTGAGACAAATTTTTGGCTGTAGATTACTTACTGTCTAGCTTTAACAGAATATGCCTCAAAAAGAACCCGTGTTAGGTTCAATCCGCCTAAGAAAGTCACTAAAAAGCTGTTGGGAGGCCGGGAGCATGCGTCTGATACTGATCACAGGTCTGTGTTTTCAGTAATGTAATCACAGAGGTGTCTGAGATAGACCAGACACACTACAAATCTCCAAGAAAATAGTTAACATTGTGACTGTGCTATACAATACCTCAAAACCAATCACTGATGCAGAATGGGTCACAATGCTACTGTAATTCAGCCTTTACAGGGTCTGGGCTTTCCCTGGCCTACTGATAATTCCGCTGGGCATGACTTTAAGATCCTATACTAATAGATACTTGATTTTCAGTAGGTTTTGAAGTTAATGCTTCTCTGTAAGTCTCTGGTTCGAGAAATCAGTTTTCTTCTAATTTAAACAGTCTCCAGATTGTTAATATGTATTAAAGAGAACGTTTACTTGTAAGTAGAAATAAACTCTATGGAAAATGATTACAAAATAACTAGGTACTGAGATATAAATCCCTGGGTCTTCTCTCCTTGTAAGCCTCCTGGAATTATTAGCTTTAAGGACATAATTTGGGCCTGTTTATTGTCACCATTACCCACCTGCAGACTCATAGGTGCTCTTGAGAGTTAATGGAAGATTACCTTTTCCTTGACTAAGTATGTATTGTTCCAAAGGTAACTTCCTAGTTACTCTGAAAAACAGTGTTAGGAGAATTACTTTGTATTTGAGGGAGTAAATAGATATAGGGTTACTCATATTGTCCATGGGATGGATCTAAAAAGGTAAACAGGGAAGCCTTTTCTTGCTTTATATTTATAATTTGTTTGCTGAGCATCTTGGTAAGACAGTCACTAATGTATTTTGTATTTGATAGTAACTGTAATTAATCTTCTTAAGTATTTAGACCATTTGATAGACTTTTAATATTTGGGTTTTTAAAAAATTTATAAATTCATGGTTGGATAATTCTGAAATATGCATCCAAATCCTCAGTCCACTTAGATTGATAGTATTTCTTCCTCCTTGTTCAAACTAGAAACAAAGTGCTTTTTAAAGTAAAATTATTTTTTAACTCCTCAGCAGTGCTTTGTCAAAGGTTCTTTTGTGGTCGTCAATACTAATGACATGGCTTATTAAGTGTGTTACTAACAGAAGCTCTGACAATACTTAGAACACAACCAGGCAACAAATAGACTGCCCAGAGAGCTTCATTTCTAATGATTGTCAACCACATAAATGAGTGTTGAGTGTCTGCTAGCCCTAGGACTTGCCTGTCCGTTTGTGTGTATCTCAGGTAGCGCTCTTCCTTGAGCAGGTTGTACTCTTCCTGGTCTTCAGTTAGATGCAGCTCTGAACTTTAGTGACCAGATCTACTGCACATATTTTATCTTTATCATGTTCAGTAGGCTGTCAACTCTGAGTGATAATAATAGTACATTAACTACACTAATTAAGTACAAAGCAAATTTTACCAAATAATTTCAACTCATTCTACCTCCCATAGAAATCATTACAATGTTATCGATAGCAACCTTTATAAATTCAAATTTTGCTTATTATTTCTCTTTTACTGCTTAGGAAATGAGAAGAAAATTATTGTTCCATCAGCAAAGGGACCCACTAGAACATAAAGTCAATGCTGGCAGAGATTTTTGTCTGTTGCCCTTGTCTCTTAGTGCTTAGAACGGGACTTGCTCTTACATGAGTGATTTTAAAATTCTTATGTTGGCTTGTATTTTCTAAAATGTAGCGATGCTGGGATGGATTCTGATTTATAGGTAATCTATTTCAGAGATCTACAGATACAACTCTACATCTTTGTAGACTTGATTACCAGTTTTTATAAATGCCATATAGAATATCCTAGCCTTCATCTTTAGTAATATGATTGCTTAAGCGAGTCCATCCTTCTCACAGAGGATATGACCCACAGAAACTGAACACCACATGAATCACATGCACTACCCTTGAGCTTTCACAACACAAAGGGGACGCTCTAGTAAAGCAGTTCTGGAACTTTCAGGTGCTGCAGAATTGCCGAGAGGACTTGTTAAGAGGTTACTGCCACGTTTTCTGATACTGTAGCTAGAGGCCTGAGAATTTGCATTTCTAACAAATTCCCAAATGCAGCTAAAGATACCTGTTGGGGCCACATTGGGAACAATCATTGCCCCAGTGACAAATTTCTCCATCTCTAATGACTGTGTGTTAAACTACAGACTCTGGTTTAGTAGATTTGGAATGAGATCTGAGATTCTACATTTCTAACAAATTCCCATATGGTACTAATGCTGCTAATTCCAGGGACATTCTGTGAGTAAGAAGGCTCTAGAATCCTGGTGTGGTACTGTAGGATAAGCTCTGACTGCTAACCACTAGACTGGCAGTTCTAATCCACCGACCGCTCCTTGGAAACCCTATACAGGGTTACTATGAGTCAGAACCAACATTATGGCACTTAACAACAACAGCAACAATTAAAACTAAAATTCTGTGGAGAATTATTGTAGTAGGACAATATTGTTATCATCCCATAGATAAAGGCCATTGAATTTTACATGGACCTGGGCTAACTTTAGTTATCTGAATATAAGTGGATCAACATTTGAATAAATGATTTCCTCTTAAAATTAAGTAAATTTATTTTATATCTTGTGTTTTGCCTTCCTCTGTGTTCTTTCTTGTTCTGTTTGTGATAATCCTTATTTTTCCAGGCCGTTAGGATCAGAAAACCTACTTCTCAGAGGAGCCACACTGAAGAACACTGAGAAAATCTTTGGTAAATATTGTAATTAGTGAATTATTAATACTGTCTAAAATTAGGCAATGTTAATATCCATAATATATCATGAGAGTATCTCTTTGTTCTTTGAGGTGCTGTAGACTTTATGGCAGGAATCATCGTGTCATACTAAGGAAATGCGTGTGGATGTATGACCCTAACCCATGAGCAATGACATCTGCAAATATATATTTTTTAACTCAGAAGCATAGTTACATCCATGACCGGATTCCTGCAATACAGCTCTTCAGGAAATTTCTTTGAATGTCTGCAATTTCTTGGCTAATATCTCTCATTTCTGGCGTTTCATGAAATGAGCTAAAAAGAATATGCATTGTATCCCACTGTCAGAAAACCCAGTATGTAAAAATGTGAGCTTAAACTACAGATTGTTCTCTGGCGGGGGGTATTTATTTAATCTAACGGAAACTTATCATGTGACTCTTCCTTAGCTTGCCTAGTGAAATTAAGAATTCTGTTCATTGTCCTCATTGCTATCCAGAACTTCCTGTGTGAAGTCAAGAGGCCGTCTCCTCAACGCTTGTACCTCTTGTACCTTACAGGAGTTGCTATTTACACTGGCATGGAAACCAAGATGGCATTAAATTATCAATCAAAATCCCAGAAACGGTCTGCTGTGGAAAAGTAAGGTTCAGTAGCCTGTCATGTGAAGTGTGTACAAAACTGTGATTTTAAAGTACATCAACCATGGTAGAGGTGAAAAGATTTTCCTTTGGGGCTTATTAGCAATTTCTTCATGGTTTCTAAGTTATACAGTATTTTGGTAACTATTAAGCCAATTACTTAAATGAGGTCAAATGCCACACAATTGGTTTTTACTTAATTATTAATTTTCAGTATACTTTGAAAGCACGTCCTACGTATAGCCATTCCTAAGAATTCTTAGTATTGAAGTTAGTTGCCTATAGCCATACAGTTGTTCCATAGTTCTGTTAAATATCCAAATAGGGTTACTTTTAACTCTGGGATTTCATGGAAAACACCTTCTATTTACTGATACGGCTTTATTAAGCATCAGCAGACAGAACATAGGCTTCTTTTCGTTACAGAGTAAAATCCGTATGATAAAATATTAAGATGATACTTTAATTTGTACGATTATGTGGTCTGAAATTTTGCTGCTTAACCTCTTGTTAAAGTACGTGCTTGACTTCAAAATGGACCACTAAATGGCTGATAAATTATTTAGGAAAGAGGAATATGCTACTCAGGGATTCTTGGTGGGTTTTTTTAGGAAGACTGTTAGGAGGTATTTCTGTCTTTGTAAGTTGATCTTTAAATGTGATCATTGGGTCTTTGTTCTTCTATGACTGTATCAATTATGAAAATGGAGACTGGGGGTATCATAAGCAAGAAGTCTGTTTCTAGATGTCTAGATATGACAAATAGGTCCCAAAAATAGATACTGGAAAATAAAATTTTCTTCACAAGGTCTGCTAAGATTCAACATTTTCCCCATACTGAGAATATTGCCCTTCATAGTATTCATGTTTCTCCTTTTTCCCTCCTTCTGCCTCTTCCCTTTCTTTTCTTCCTTTTGTCTTTCCTTCCTTTATAATGATAATCACTACATTTGGAACTTATCAAAATGATGCTTAATGGTAAAAGATCGTTGAAATTTGAATGTTCTTTTAAATTATAGAATTCTAGTCCATTCAGAAATATTTGTCAGTAATGTAATTGTGTGCAGTTTTCTTTCTGTTGAAAAACAAAAAATCCCTTTCCTTAATTCTTTCCCTTATGGAGCCTAGAATTATATGCCTGTGATCATGGAGTGAACTCAGATATAGCTGAACTCGTATTGTCATTTTTTACTGTGTCAAGTGGGGTGTGGAAACTTTCTTTAAAACCCATTATTGTGCTAACTCCCCTTTTCATTGTTCCATCGCAGGTTTATCGTGGCATTTTTAGGAAAAGAATATGTACAGCTCATTCTTTATTAAGGGAACACTAGCTCAATAATGATCACTGCCCTTCTGTTTCAGATCGATGAATGTCTTTCTCATTGTGTACCTATGTATTCTCATCAGTAAAGCACTGATCAATACGGCCCTGAAGTATGTGTGGCAGAGCAACCCATCTCGAGATGAACCCTGGTACAATGAGAAAACTGAGGCAGAGAAACACAGGAACTTGGTATGAGACACAACTCCTGAGGTCCCGCTGACCCTTTATCTTTTCCAAGTAGACCATTGCTTTGGAATCGTAGTCCAGTAAAATTGTGAAGGTGAATGTGCTATAGGCAAAAAGAGATTTGATTCTGCCTCAGTAATAGACGCGCTGGTTGATGTGTTTACTAGTGGTCCTCTTGGCTATGTTGTTGTTAAGTGCCGTCGAGTCGGTTCCAACCCATAGTGACCCTGTATAGGGTTTCCGAGGAGCAGCTGGTGGATTTGAACTGCTGACCTATGGTTTACAGTCATGTGCTTATCTTATAGCAACACAATGCTGGATATTGCTGCTGTCTTTAGGCATTTGAATATACAGGTCTGAAATGGCAATGATTCCCATAGTAAATGCATGAGGACAGTATTTTAAACATTTTTGGTGTTTCCAGACCCCAGTGTGTGCTATACTACATTTGCTGCTGTTGTCAGTTTCAACCCATAATGGCCTCGTGTAACAGTGTAGAGCTGCCCCTTAGGGAGTCCAGCCGCCATCTTGCAGAAGCAGATCACCGGGTCTTTTTCTCACAGTACTACTGGGGTGGGGGTGGAGGGCTTCAAACTATCAGCTTATCAGTTAGTATCCAAGGGCTTCCACTGCACATTACCACCACCACCACCACCCCACCCAGGGCCTTAACCACTGAGCCTTTTATTAGAGTGTGCGCACTTGATGTTAGTCATTATTTTGATGTAAACAGAACCACTTTAACAAAAACCTGTCAAAAAGGGCTAAGCCCAGTTATAGAAATTTGGGTCAGAATGGAGTCCCTGGGTGCTGCTGAGCTGCTTACTGAAAGGTTGACAGTTCTGATCCATCCAGAGGTGCCGCAGAGCAAAGGTTTGGCAGTCTTCCTTATGAAGTGCAGTTCTACTCCGACACACGTTGGGTTGCCATCAGTGGGAGTCAACTCGATGGCAATGGGTTTTTTAAAGGAAGCATTTATTTCATTTTCTTCAGGAGATTTCAGTTCAATTATTCATATTTATCAGCGTTATTTTTTCCCCCAGAGCAGTGTGTTCAAATATTTTGATTGAGCTTCCCTATACTCAAAATGGTACAGTCTTATAGCTAGTTTCATTTAGTTCAGAGCCAGGGTTGTACACAAATCTAGACCCGTACCTCACAATGCTTTCCAATACTCCTATAATGTCCTTTGGAGTGGCCCCACCTGTGTGGCCGACAGGCACTTCTAGCATGCAGAGATTTCCAGAAGTTAAGCTATCACTGGAACCTGTCAAAACTAGCATGATTTCAGAGATGAGGACAAAACTGTACAAAAGAGGAAAGTAAAAAATCATTTTTTCAGATTTTTGGGAGGGCCATCAGATAGGTTATTATTTTATCTCTATAGTTAATTTATTAAAATTAGAAAGCAAATTTTAAATTTCCATGACATCTGAGTTAAAAGTGTCTCCTCCCTCTTAGCAATGTGGGCATTCACCGTGTAATTGCATCTTCACCCCATTGATAAAACAGACCTGCAAACCCACCTCATGGCCTTTGGCAGGTCATCAGTAGAAAATCAAGTGACAGGCAAGTTAGCCGATGGCTGCGGCCAGCACTGAGTAACCCTTATCTTTGGATTTTGAGATGCTTCTATTAAAAATTACTCGTCATTTTATTGACACCTACCTTTGAGTTACTCACTTAGGACGTTCCTGTTTTCCCACGCTAATGGGTGCGATGACATGATGCATTCTTCAGTGATCAACTGCTGGGGTTTGTTTCTTTACAGTTTCTCAGCGCCTTTACGGATTTCCTGGCTTTCATGGTCCTCTTTAACTACATTATCCCAGTATCCATGTACGTCACAGTCGAAATGCAAAAATTTCTTGGCTCTTATTTCATCACTTGGGATGAAGAAATGTTTGATGAAGAAATAGGGGAGGGGCCTCTGGTTAACACCTCTGATTTAAATGAAGAATTAGGACAGGTCAGTATCTCCTGAATTGTCTTGCATAACTTATTAGAAATGGTGTCAGTCCATAAGAGGGTTCCAGTTATCTAGATTCTAAACGGTCAGTACCATCCAGGGTCAAGCATCCAACTGGGCAAATGGAAATGTCAGTTTTAATTCACACATAGAGAGATAACTGGTGATAAAAAGTCAGGAATTTTTGGGGTATGTTTAACTTTATTTACATCAAAGTTAAAAGTGGTTTGATATTTACAACTTTAGGAAAATAAATCACATGAGCTGAATGATATAAACTAATCTGTGGACTTGATATAAGTCCTCAAGTGCCGAGGACTGAGGAGTTCATTGCTGGGATGAATCCAACCAGCCGCCCGGGGCCCCCACGAAGTCAGAGCAGTCCATGCCCACTCCCGCACTGTCCTGCCAGCGGGCTTCCTGTGGGGCAGGCACCTGGATATGCCTGGGCAGCAGCTCTGTCCCCCACGGGACCAGCCTCCACTTGGACTGTGGCAGCCCTGTGTCTGCGCTGAACCTGACCCTTCTCCCTCCAGTGTGATGTTCATGGGCACACATCAGCTACAAGGACCCCCACTGCTTCCAGGCTGTAAAGTGCCCCAGAGAAAGTGCACCATTTCCCTTGTTTATTTTCTGATTGTTGGGTTACTACCAAACTCAATCCATGACTTCTTGACCATAGCTTATACCTCTATGATATAAAATCGATAAAAAGTAGAAACTTTATGCTTTATAAATGGGTGAATGAGGCTGAAATTCACTTCTGGAAATGTCAGGAGAGGTAGGCGGTAGGTAGATGCATGGGAGTGCTATGCTACGTCAGTTTTAATACAATTCCATCGTTTTCTCCCATTCTATGTATGTGCACATTATTTGTGGGAAATACAGTGTTTGACTATAGCTCTCCATTCTAGTCAGTGATGTGTGTCAGGGAAGCACTGAGCACAATTCTCATGGGAATAGTTAGAGATATGGCATGGTCCTTCTCGCACCAGCCACACCTGTGCATCTCCCAGGGTCTCTAACAATGGTACCAGCTGACTTAGGGCTCCGGGAAGGCATGTTGTGCTCTCTGACGTAAGCCTGGAAACAGTAGGAGCATGTCCAGAATTCCTTTCAGTTATTTATGAACAATGGGAGACCTGTGAGTTTATCTAAATGTAGCCTTCAAAACGAGTTGTATTTTTAGTAATTTTCACTTTTCTTCTTGAAACTTCAGTCTTTTTATTTGTTTAAATCTGCCTTCTAAACCAAAAGTGATATTGAAACTCTGACTTTATAAAGGTAATCCTGTCTTTGATTTTTTACTTAAAATCTTTCATTTTTTAATAAAACAAGATTCAGGATGTGCCTCCCTCACAATTTGAATTTCCAAACAAACAGAATGCTCTTTTTCATTTGCTTGTTAGAGAGACAGAGAGATAGGTGTCTGAATGTTCATATAAGGTTCATATAATGCTTATATTTAAAAAATAATTGTTATTGGGAGAAAGTAGGGCTGTTCTGATATTCTGAATTTAGAGAAGGGCGAATTGAATTCCTCAGAGAGTCTCGCCCTACCTTTTGAGCCTGTTGTGCTTCACAGGTGGAATATATCTTCACTGATAAGACTGGGACCCTGACCGAGAACAACATGGAGTTTAAGGAATGCTGCATCGAAGGCCATGTGTACGTGCCGCACGTCATCTGTAACGGACAGGTTCTCCCAGATTCCTCAGGAATCGATATGATTGATTCTTCTCCGGGAGTCAGTGTGAAGGTACCTTATATGCTTTTACCATTTCTAGAAAAAAGTATCAATAAAAAATATACAGTAGAAAATAATTTGTCCATGAAAGGTTTTTTCATGGTCTCAAGATTAATAGACTACAAAGACTGGAATATAAGGGGCCTTCATAAAGTTTGTGGGAAAATGGATTTTAAAAATAATGGAATTTCTCTACAGACTTTTTGAATCCCCCTCATAAAGGAGGAGTGCTGTGTTCAATATGCTTTTAGAAACTTCATGTTGAAATTAAAAAAAAAAAAAAAATTAAGACAGTAGGGGTTTTGATATAATTATGTAGGACACGTGTAACCAAGTAGACTCTGGTGAAAGAATTGATGTGGTGAGGCCCCCTTCCTCAGATTCATGCAGGTCCCTACCAGGGCAGCCCATGCCACACCTGGGATAGCAGCTTCCCAAGAAACCTGAGAGGCTAAACTTGTTGGTAGGCACTAATGTGTCCCCCTGGTCACAAAAGGGTTCATTACATGGACGTACTGAAGAACAAAGAACAGCCATAATTAGGTTTTACTTTATAAACTACGAAAGGCAAAACTTATAATTCCTAGACAGTTAGATATTACACATCACTGCTGTATAAACACCCTTTGTTTATTTTCCTTCTTTTTAAGAAAATATGACTTTGTGTGTGTGTGTGTGTGTGTGTGTGTGTGTGTGTGTGTGCGCTGTTTTCTTAGGAACAAGAAGAGCTGTTCTTTCGGGCTCTCTGTCTCTGCCACACAGTCCAGGTGAAAGATGATGACAATGTCGATGGACCCAGGAAGTCACCAGACTCAGGAAAATCTTGTGTCTATATTTCATCGTCGCCTGATGAGGTGGCGCTAGTCGAAGGCATTCAAAGGTAGGTCTTTTGGCTTCATCACCGAGTTTTAGGTTTGGAGAGGAATACTAATTACTGGCCTTGAGAGTATTTTTAACTCCAGCGCCATTCTTTAGAATGTTGTCAGTTGAACCCACTCTGTACTTTGGTATGTTTCTTGAGAAGAGATGGATGGGACTAACCAAAGAACTGTTTTTTTGTATTCTGTTTTCTTCTCTTAACGTCCTTATTGTTTGAAATGGGGTGGGGGTGGGGGGGTCCATCTTGAAAACAGGTGGTGCTGATTTATAAGAAGAAGCTTGTCCTTAGTTATAAGATTTTTTGTCTTTGCCTTTTTATAGATGTTTTTCCTCTTAACATCTGCAAGAAGTTAGTTTAATGTCATTCCAACGAATCACAGGTTTTTAAAGAGAGAAACAATTTTAGACATCATTTAATACAAATCTTCCTCTTATGTCATAGAAAAGTAAGACCCAGAGAGATGGAGTAACTTTCCCAGTGTCATACAACTTGTACTGTTAGCTTCATTTTCTTCATATTATATCATATTGACTCCGAGGTTTTTTGCGTGCACCATCAAGATCTTTTCATTGGTAATTCCATTACTTCACATTTGTCGTTTTAAGTAGACACTTGGAAAAATACTTTAAATATCACAGACGCATGGCATAATTTTCAACTTCTCACACCTTGTAACTTTTATCTAATACTCTTTGTAGAATAAGCACAAAGTTTGTGCAGAGATTTACAGCCTCACAAACCCTACGCAGGGTCACTCTGAATCAGAGCCGACTCAGTGGTTCTTAACAACAGAAGTACCCAGTCTCCCCTTTTACTGCCTTCAAGGATTGAATGACTGCTGAGAAAAGCAGCTCAATGCTTTTTGTGTGATCAGAACAACCTTGTTGTTGACCAAACAATGAACTTTTCCTATGGATGTAAATATTGATATTAGATATATAAATTGTATCACTACTGACCTTAAATGGTCAGAGCATTTAAATCTAAACATATATAGGTAGGATTTCTCAAAAGTTTGCTCTAGAAAGCAAGTGCTCAAAAATTTACCTGCATTTCAGTCACGGATATTAGGACTTAGGAAGACTCTTGCTACCCACCTTTCTGGGCTCAGCAACATTTAGAAGAAGCCTCACCTTCAGCTTACTGGTTTTTACCTGGCTAAGTGGACACTCTCTTCCTGTCTTCATACCTTCTTAATACAGATTCTATCCAAATGTTTTGTTTGTAACTTCCCATACTTCTCCAAACGCCTTGAGTATAGAAATCTGGCCTTTTCTCCCCCTCTGCATTCCCAGCACTTACCCATGTGGCCCCTGAAGTGTGGTGGTCATGGTCTGTGCCGTGGAGTCAATTCCGACTAATAGCAACTCTGCATGGGGTCTCAGAGGCTGTAAATCTTTACAGGAGCAGAAAGCCTCATCTTTCTCCCACGGAACAGCTGGTAGTTTTGAACTGCTGACCTTGAGGTTAGCAGCCCAACTCGTAACCACTATGCTACCAGAGCTCCTTCCCCTGAAGTATATTAAGTCTCAAATGGTGATGGTAGGAAGCTGTCGTGTATGGTTAAGTGCTCTGCAAATGTTCAGTAAACTGACTTTTCCTGCATTGGGCCATAGTTTTCATCAGTAATATGAGGGGTTGGTTTGGAAGTTGACTGTCTCCAAGGAGCCTTCTACTAAAAAAAAAAAACCACAAAATGATCAATAAATAAAAATGTTCATAGAAACCGGGATTGCAGTCCAGAAATCTGCTCCCATCTTTCTCAAAACCTTTAATACTTACCTCTAAGCATGTGCCTCATCCGTGTGGTTCAGGAGAGTACAGAATAAGCAGGACTTCAAACTGGATCATCCCAACTCTGTCCGATGCTGAGGGGTTATCTTCCACCTCAAACACTGAATCCAAATCTCCAGTCTCAGACCCACAGCAATCCGTACAGATTCTCCTACAGGATCTTGTTAAAATGCCAATTCTGATTCAGTGTATCTGGGGTGACAAATTCTCAGCAGGGGTTCAAACAAGGATAACTTGGTTAGAGACCCTAAGGATTGTTGTTGTTGTTAAGTACCTTCCAGTCATTTCTGACCCATGACCACCTTGTGTCTGTGCGATTCTCGAAACTTTCGTTATGCTTGACTGCATTGCTGCCGTCACTGTGCCAATGTCCCTCCACTTTACCAAGCATGATGCCCTCCTCCAGGGACTGGTCTTGCCTGATAATATGCCCAAAGTACAAGAGACATAGTCTAGTCTCCCCATCCTGGCTTCAATGGAGCACTCTCGCTGTATTTCTTCCAACACAGATTTGTTTGATCTTCTGGCAGTCCGTGGCACTTTTGATAATGTTTTTCAACACCAGAACTCAAATATATCCATTCTTCTATATGGGTTTCCTCATTCATTGTCCACCTTTCACATGCATGTGAAACTACTGAAAATACAGGTGCATCTTACCTCAAACTGACGTCTTTGCTCCTGAGCGCTTTGAAGAGATCTTATGCAGTAGGTCTGCCGTACGCAATGCAGAAGTTGATTTCTTGACTGCCACTTTCTTAAGTCAAAGCCTAAATGAAAATTTTGAGAATTTCAATCTTTTCTCTATTCACGACAATGTTATTTTTGGGTCCAGTGGTTAGGATTTTTGTTTCTTTACATTAAGATGAAACCCAAATTGAAGGCTGTTTTCTTTGATCTCCAGCAGTATTTTATTTTATTTATTATTTTTTTAAATGTTTTATTGTGAATTATGTGATAGTTTACATGGGAGAACATTGGTTTTACATTCATTCTATCGTATATCGTCTCATTGCCATGGTTACAATCCCCTCCATGTAATCCTTCCCACGTGCCCCCCAGGTCTTCAGCATACAGTCGCTCACCCTCTCTGAATCTAAAGTCTCCAGCTGCTCCATCGCTCCACGTCATCATCTCTGCCTCCATTTCAGGCATCACTGCTTCTCTGGGTAGGGTCCCGCTCTCTGCTCTTCTCCCTTGATGGTCCCAGGGACCTCCGCTCCTAGACTGAAAAGTTAATCACTCCCCTCCTTGGTATAAAACGTCTACCTTTACATTTCCAACCCTCACAATCAGTCCTGATAACAATTATTCACCATTGTGTCACAAGAGACCCGTCTGCATTTCCTTGCATCAGCCCCAACTAGTCAGGTTGAATAATACTCACTGGAGATTCTACCTTCCTCCAGGCCCTCTGGATCTAGGTTCCCTCTTGAAAGCTTGTAAGCCAGTCACTTCTTGCCTTTGTAGCCCCTGCCCCATTTTGGGTAGCCAATGTCCAAGTTGCCCATCCCTGTCTACTCTGTGTGTGGAGGGGGTGGGAATGATTCTTGCTGTTAGGACTTGTTCCCTCTTTTGAGCTACTGCATCCATAGGTGTAGGTCAAGTTCATCAAATTGTATGAGAATACTTTTTTTTTTCCTCTTCTTATGCATATGCCCTCTCTTCTTATCAGCTGGACACCTCTTCGCTTTCAGCAAGCAAAGTTGTATCATTGGCATTTCATAGGTTCTTAATGAGTCTTCTCCAATCCTGATGCCACATTCTGCTTCATATAATCCACCTTCTTGGATATTTGCTCATTGTACAGACTAAATAAGTATGGTGAAAGAATACAACCCTGGTGCACACCTTTACTAATTTTAAACCATTCGGTGTCTCCTTGTTCTATTTGACAGCCTGCCACTTGGTCTGTGTATAGGTTCCTCATGAGCACAGTTAAGTGTTCTGGAACACCCATTCTCTGTAATGGTGTCCATAGCTTGTCATGATCCACATAGTTGAAAACCACTGCACAGTCAATGAAGCACAAGTAAACATCCTTCTGGTCAATTCTCGGCTTTCAGCCAAGACCCATCTGGCATCAGCAGTGGTAACCCTTGTTCCACATCCTCATCTGAATCCAGATCGAACCTCTGGCAATTCCATGTCATTGTACTGTTGCAGCCATTTTTAAATTATCTTTAGAAAATGTTTACTCATTTGAGCTATTAATGATATTGTCGATGATTTCTGCATTCCATTGGGTCATCTCTCTTCGGAATGGGAACAAATATGAATCTTTTCCAATCAGTTGGCCAAGTAGCTGTTTTCCAAATTTCTTGGCAGAGATGAGTGAGTGCCTCCAGTGCTGCATCAGTTTGTTGAAAGATTTCAATTTGTATTCCTTCAGTTTCCAGAGCCTGGTTATTTGCTAATGCCTTCAGTGCACGTTGGACGAATACCTTCAGTACCATTGACTTTTGATCAGATGCTACATCTGGAAATGGTTGGACGTTGGCCATTTCTTTTTAGTACAGTACTCTGTGTATACTGCTTGTCTACTTTAGATGCTTTCTGCATCGTTCAGTATTTTGCCCTTGTTGTTGTTGTTAAGTGCCATTGAGTTCGTTGCAATTCATAGCGATCCTGTATAGAGGGTTTCCAAGGAGCGACTGGTGAGTGTGAACTGCCAACCTTGTGGTTCAAACCAGCCTTGCAGTTCAGTGCTACACCAGGACTTTTGCCCTTAGTATCCTTTGATATCTTAAGTTGAGGTTTGAATTTTTCTTCCATTCCTTCAACTTGAGAAAAGCTGAGCATGTTCTTCCCTTTTGGTTTCCTAACGCCAGGTCTTGGCACATTTCAGTATACTTGACTGTTTTCTCAAACTGCCCTTTGAAATTTTCTGTTCATTTCTTTTACCTCCTCATTTTTTCCATTTGCTTTAGCATCTCTACGCTGAAGAGCAAGTTGCAGAGTCTCTTCTGACATCCATTTTTGGTCTTTTTCTTCTTTCTTGCCTTCTTAATGAACTATTTATTGCTTTCTTCCTGTCTGATGTTCTTAATGTCGTTCCACAACTCTCTGGGTCTGTGATCATTAGTATGCACTGCATCAAATTTGTTCTTGAGAGAATCTCTAAATTCAGTTGGAATACGCTTCAAGATCATGTTTTGGCCCTTGTGATCTTCTTTTAATTTTCTTCAGCCTGAACTTGCATATGAGCA